GACCCCCACCGTTAAGTCTCTTTCCCCTCGACTGCTTTGTACTCTAACCCAGAGCACTTCCGTGTGCCCCTCCTCAGACTCTGTGCTACCTGGTAAGGATGTGTATTCCTCCTTGACATAGAGCGCCACACTCCTGTCTTTCCTCCCTGTCCTGTCCATCTTGTACAGCCTGTAGTCCTTGATATTCACCACCCAGTCATGCGTGGGGCCCCACCACATTTCGGTGAGCCCCACTATGTCTGGGTTGGTGTCAGCTAGCAGGAGGGTGAGTTCCTCCTGCTTGTTTCCCATACTATGAGCGTTTGTGTAGAGGCATTTGAGGCCTCCTGTGGATGTGTGCACTGGTCCCCTAATCACAGCATTGCCCTGGTCCCTGTTGCTTGCCTGTGTATATGTTCTGCTTGTTGGTGTAGGCTGGGCTGTACTTGTGAGTGCTACTTGGTTTAGCAGTCCAAGGCTTCCTCCTCCCTCGTCTTACCCTTCCCCTGCCGGAGGAGATCCGCCAACCTAGGGTGATCTTGTAGAGTTTCTTGGTTGGCTCCTTTAACAGATATGGGACTGGGCACACATCACTGCTTAGACAGCATGGAGCTGTTGCTTACCTTCCCAGCCATGGACCTAGCATCCTCTTCTTTCCCTGTAAAGAACTACTGCTGGGTTTAAAAAGAACTGTATTTTTAAAGATGAATTCCTGTGCCATGAAAAGCTTACAATTCAGCCCAACATTTCTGTAAATCTGCTCTCTGCTGTTTCACTGGGAAGAGGAGTGGCTCTTCCTGGCTTTCAATGGAGATCGGATGTGTTTTGTTGCAGTTGCAGCTGAAGAAGAGGCTGACAGAGCTGAGAAATCAGAATGACAAAGCTTCTCTGGCAATGAACGAAGTAAAGATACGGGAGAGACAAGTCGCTGTAAGTGGGAAATGTTTTTCTGGCCCTTGGGAGTACGCTGGTCTCAGGGCAGGGGACTGGTTTCTTGTGCTTAATTTAAGGCAGACTGTTCGAACGTTCAGATTAGTTTCTCAAGAGAATGCACGTAAGAATTGTATTTGGGCAGAATCAGGCAGAAGCTGCGACTGACTGACAATGCCATCTGCTTGTTAAAACTTGCTGCCACTTGTGCCATTCATACTAGACCCTACAGCCTTCAGCACAAGAAAAGCTGAGCCTCTAAAGCTGCAGTGAAAAGATAAAGGCCCAGATCCACAAAGCTGTATGAAGGCACCTTAACTTCTCTCGAAAATCAAGGGAAGTTCCACACGTAAACGCCTCTGTGCCTCCGGTATTAACTAATGAAATTCCCCCAGTGAGACATTGCTATAAATCATTTTAAAAAGGGACAAGAACAAATGCAGAGGTTGACACACAACCCTAGCCTGTCATGGCTTGCAGTGCTTGTTCCCACTGCCAGATGACACAGGCTGCCCGTTTCATACCCCCTGGGACCCTTTGCCCTCCCCAGATGTTCTGAGACACAAGTTTGAGGGCCCATTAAAGGGAACAGGAGACTTGCCTTTGACTTGAGTATAGAGGTATAGGGTTCCTACCCAAGTGCCATTTCAGGGAAATGCAATCGGCCATCACATTTTGCAGAGCCCAGGGCTTTATACCCCTTTGCACCCTGGGGAGTGTCCTACCTATGTGCAGTCCCCTTGAAACCCACATCCTCGTGGTTGGTTTTTAGGAAGCATCTGCCCATAACAAGGATTCGCTGAGAAATGAGTTCTTAGAAGTTAAAGTTTTAATTGAAGAACAAGAAAACCAGTCAGTAAAGAAGCTTGAAGAGGAGGAGAAGAGAGTGCGTGATAAGTTTGATTACATCCATAAGGTTCTGGGAAAGAAGAAGAGTGAAATTCAGTCCCTCAAAGACAAGCTTGAGAGTACACTGGCTGTAAGTGATGACATTGCATTCCTAGAGGTAAGGCCTGCTCTCGGGTTTCCTGCTGATCTCAAGAACATACAGCCCTAAAAGAAACCACTACAGGAATCCTGCCCTTACTACCTTTGCGTAGACATAGGACCACAAAAAAAGAAAAATCTATGATTTTTGAGAGAATTATCCTGGTGCACGTCCACAAGGGGCCAGCAGGGGAGACTATGTTTACGG